CACAACTAACTTTCCACTAATTAGTTAAGTGCAAGATAAAAAAACCCAACATTATTTTTGACAATTTAATTTTTCCAATTTGTCAACAAAAACAAAGAAGCAGGTAAGAACAGTAAACTCGTATTGTAACAGGAGAAAGTAACGGTCACGCTCCTATAAGTACTGACAGACGGACAACCGAAAAAACCTTGACATTCATTTTTTCTTTACAATCACGAGTATGTTAGAAACAATATCGTGCAACAAAAAATATTTTCGAACCACAATCGACGATAAGGATAATACAGAAAAAGATTAGAGTTACTACGAATCGATAAATTTACTCTGATAAGATTTCACTAAAGCCGTATTGTCACGGATTTTTGATTCGTTAGGTGTGGCCAACGTTAGTCATTATTGCGAAATCCTTATGTTAAATCAGTCTTTAAACATTTATTTAATAAAATAAACTTATTCAATCCAATGAAGACATCGTGCGGATCCGATTGGATTTTAATTAGAGTTTATTATCCTCTTTATGAATAAACGAAAAATGACCTGACTATTGTGCTATTACTCTAATAGTAGATACGTAAATATTTGTTTATTGCACTCCCATTTTTGTAACAGAAAACAAAACAATACTTAATTAAATAATACAGACTTAGTGTCGCCGCACACGGGCTACACGTCACAGCCACAAACGCCGCCACGAGAAGCTAGAAGCAGCTACTAAAGTGGCTGACTGAAGCGCGCGACATAGACATAGATAAGGGAGAGGGGTGGTGAATCGCGCGAGTGACATGTGGCGGCGTTTTGTATCGGCGGATTAAGTGGCCGGAGCGGGCCACAAGAAGCGAGCAACGACGATTTGTAGCGTGTGGCGGCCACTGGCGTACCGTGTGTGGCGAGTCCATATAAAATATATGAAAACTACAAGAGATATGCCGGTGGCGGCGTTTTGTGGTTGTGGTCGGTGGCCCGTGTGCGGCGACACTTATTCGTGCTCGTACCCAGAAAATGAATAAAAAGCCCTAAACAACCGCACTCTAAAGTAAGTAAAGTAAATCAACTTTTGAGTTTGTTGAAAATGGACGTTGTCACTGCAAATGTAATGAATGACACAAACAGCATTAACTTAAATAAATTGCGATCGTACCGTGGGATACGCCCAGATTTCAAAACAATATCCACACAAATGGTCCACTTCCCATTTTTTAATCGAAATACTAGTGTCGGTTACAGCAATGCATTCATCGGACAATGTCCAAGTCGACGACGTGGAGCCGTGTCCTTAATTACATTTCCGGATTAAAAGTCATCAGGATAGTCCCAATGAATGCGAACGCAACGAAATCACCATGTGTACAGAACTAATTATGCTATGAAGCTATGATAAGAGCAAACACACTCAATAATGACTCGCCCTGACTCACAGGGCAATAAAATTATGTTACATTAGAAATTGCCGACTTCCGTAACCGCGTTGCGGACGAAACCGCACGTTTTCAATGTAAACACAATCTGTACTCCCTCATAAACGAGAACTTCCATTTAAGTTAGGTTAAATATGTTTATATTAAATACAAACTGCATATGACGACCCGTGATATGAATTACCTACATAATTTTAAAGCAAACAAGATTGTGTAAGTAACACGATTGCATCTGTTACAAGTAAAGTCCATGGTCAAACAATAATTACATCATCCTTCCAATAAATCTCTTTAATTAAGAATAATTGTGAAATGTACCCTGCTCTAGATTTTGTATAAAGTAACACAGATACAACCAGACGCGGTTAAATACTACTTGATGTTTTAAACTTGATACACAACACAGAAGGTAGACTGAAAAACTAGCCGTTTGTAATTAATTAGGTATTCAAATAACACTTCCAACAGCCTTTGAAACACTGACTCATAGTTGGTGAAACTCGAACTCTTTTCATTAGCAATGACATTAGCACCCATGACGTGCACTTGACCTATAAGAAGCGATATATCTATTGACTAGAAATGTAAAAACTCGTTGGAAGCAAATGATAATAGAAAAAAAATTGCGTGACTTTAGATTAAATCGCCTCACAGGCAGTTTTGTCTGAACAACTAATAATGAGCCATAGTTATATTAGTAGGTACTAGGTACGTGAATCATCAAAATCCTCTTCAAGGCTGATAACTGGAATATCAACCTGCATGCTTTTGCAAATAGGTTAATTCACCTAACGAATTCACATCAAATGCAGATTTTGAATAGAACTCAATTACATGGAATGGAACAAAATGGTCGCGGCCACTCAATGAATGGCTATAAAAGGTCCAGACGGGACAAACCATTGAATTTATTGTACTTTTACAATGCACAAGGTCGCTACAAAATACAGGTGTGCCGGTGCGGCTAAAGTATCGTACTTATCAGAGGTTTAATATTTTGTTAGATGATGGCACTACACCATACGCAAACAGGCTTATCGTTCATTTATTAAGAGGTGGTTATTTCATTGCTTACTCATTTTGTAAAGCACAAGGTACTAGGTATTTGGTGGGGTAACATAGCAACGACGCACATGGACTAGCTTGGAATATAATAGAAACATGCATAATTGAGCTGCCTGCCTGGTTGGTTTAGGTATTAAGCTAACTAGAACAACGACAAAAATTCCAAATTCAGAACAATTTTCTCAACCTGAAAATGTTACGCGACCCCACAAATATCAAAAGAGATTCCCTTAAGAGGTCTATTTATTTAATAAACCATTATTGTACTTTTGATAATCTTAACAACCATGTAAGAGAAACATAGGCTAATAGTCTGCAGAATTATTTATAGTAAGTTAGTAAAATTCATATGATTTATTTTAAACCCAGTGCAACAAATTACCCTTTTGATATTTATTAAGTGTTAATAGAGTCCAGTTGTGAAGTCAACTCTTGGGACAGGACAATGCATCACTCATGCCATCCTCACCTACAATCCCAACTCACCAACAGAAACAAGGCGCCATCAAAGTAAGCGTTAGATTAAGGTATTTCACTACTGTCTTCTATAAAGTGGACGAGGGTTCCGATTCGAACAGAAAATCTGCCATGCCCTACTTCCCTTAAAGATTCATTGAAGTATTCGTGCAAAGAAATCCCGATAAGTAGTTCAAGTTATAAAAATTTGAACGTGACACTATTTCCAATTTAAATTGATAATTTCATTTATAACGCACGTACACTATGCTGTGGATGGATAAATTGAACGCGACAAATTAATCAAAGAGAACGATAGTACAGAATGACTAGGTAGGTAATACCAATTGTAAGAACAAGAAATATTGACTGCAGTTGCGTCTAAGCACAATAACGACAGTAATAAATTTATAACAAAGGTCAAAGATCACATACACTCTACAATTAAGACTTAAGGATCATAGCTATGCAAGGGTAATGAATTTCCAGTATAAGCACAAGATAACTATGAGGAAATATAATTCAATGTCACGCACATTAGAACTCTGCTAGTTCAAGATGGTCTCTTTCGAAAATACAAACGCTTCGTCATATTTAGACACTTTAATCATCATTTTTTATGACACCAAAGTAGCAAAGTACAATGGACCCTGAATCTTAGTAGGTAATCCGTTACCGTCACTCCTCTCCGCCGCTTCAGGGAACACAGGTGCTCCGAGAAGCAAGCGGGGCCCTACCTCGCCAAGAAGGCGACCGCCACAAGGGCGACCGTAAAAACTAGACAATACTCCTGCACCGGTCACCCGGCGCGCATTATGAGGGACCGCGGTCCCTCCTAGTGCACACCGGGAGTGCGAGTGATGTGGCGGTATCCGTTTCCGAATAGTCCGCCCACCGTCACCGCAGCCTAGACTTTCTTAGCAATAGTAAGAATAGTCGTTTTGTCTTTGCAACTTTGCACAGTAGATTATTAGATCTTTAATAATATTACATAGATGTAAAAGGTTGTATAATGTATCTGTAAACTTCGTCTGTACCTGTTAAACTTTCACACCTAAGCCGCTAAACCGATTTCAATGTCTTGGCAGAAAGATAAAGGAATCTGTATTTATTTAGATCTTTAAAAGGAAATAAAATGTGAGAAAAAGCAAAGAAAAATATCGTTTTCTTTTTGAAAATAGTACTACAAAGATATAATCCGCGAAATATTTATTAACCAAAAAAAAACGGACGAGGATCTCAAGTCGACGCATATATACACTATATTTTTTATGTATGACCATAACGCATAACTTTTATTAAGTAGTCCGATTTTGAAAATTCTTTTTCCGCGTTGCGTTTTAATGGTCATCGCGATGTGTCGGTAAGCAAACGTAGCAAACCAAAGCGTAATATGGCCTATAAAAAAATCATGTCACTTTATCACACTTTCCCCTGTTATAATTGAGCGGTCGCGGATAAAAGACAGCGCCAGCGCGGGAAGAAAATCTACTGATAGCTGGACTAAGTTTAGGAACTATCATTGATTTTGTAAGTTCAATAAATAATTTTTCATTTCATTTCAGATAGTCTCCGAATTCTCAATAAAAGAATAAATGATTACTCCCATATTTGTGAGCACTCCAGCGAATATGGGAAATTAGATTAATACTACGCTAATAGTGCCATAGAAGTAATTAAGCACAAATAGTATTAAAAGAAATGTGCTCAAAATAAGTTAAGATGAAAAGGCTGTTCGATACATTGGTTATGTTACTTATTTTTATAAGGAAGAGTAACAGAGATAGTGCAGATAGTCATAATTCTAAATCGATTACTATTTTTTGTTCTGTTATGGACAATACTAGAAGCTACATCACAAACGGATACCGCAAACCTTCCAAGCCCAAGTCTACTTTGCCCTTTCACAAACACTAAAAATGCTCCAAAAAGGACACAATTTGTTCTGCAATAACTCGTGAAAAGGTTTTATCATTACTTCGATTGGTAATACGATGCGAATTTAAACCGAGTAATAAATAGCAGCGCTTTTCGAGTATTTGTGAACTCAGGGTCAGATCTTACCCAAGACATATGGTGCAGTATTCTGGGCATTGAGGATGCTATTGTTCAACGGACTATGGGCGGAAGCTTTCTTACGGATCAAATCTGAAATTAAGCCACTCATCAGAAACCTTACGGTGTTTGTGAACTTATTAATATTTGTATCAGGAAATCACTAGCTTGTCCAATGTGCCTTAGCGTTAAAAAAGTTGATTGAGCCTGCAAATATTATGTAGACTTTACTTCCCATCGTTCAAAACAAGGCCGTAAACTTCAAACGTAATGTCAAATAAACCTCAGGGGTCAACCTCATTCATTGCATATTCGAATTTGGTTTACGAGTACAAGCTACGCACGTTATATGATATCATTCAGGTGCTTGTGCACACCATTTCCGGATTTTTAGCTAATTTAATAATTTGAATAGTTTTATTCAGTCTGCAACAATCAGAACGTGTAGTTTTTTGTAATGTCGACACTTTCGCCTGTCTGACCGTCCGTCGCAGCGTCATAGTCTGAGATCGCGTTAACTCGGCATAATGTGCTTTACTTTATAGAACAATATACCTATTCATTGACTATTTTCATAGCAATGATAGCAGAATATTATTTTAAAGTCATTGTATTGAATTGAAGAAATCTGATACCATAAATGAGGCCATGAGAACCATAGTGGCCTAATCATTTTTTTTACAATATTGAGTGTATGATTTTTTCCAATTCAAATTGATCATTTTGATAGAACCAAAGTGGTCTAAAAGTGATACAACGAATATTCTTTAGATGACAGTATAATTACTGTTACGGTTTTTAGTCTGTGATCTAAATAGGGCTGCCATCTCTAAGATGTGGCAACCAGGACAAGACGCGTGATAACCCCGGATTTTGGAGCCCAGAACCCGGACAGACCAATAAAAAACAGTTAAAAATGTCACAAATCAACTTTTTTTATGTTGATGTAGGCAAAATACCTAGAAGTCCACCTCATAATAAGTGGTCACTGCTGTCCATGGACACTTGCAGCAACAAGGGCCACTCATGTTTTGTCGGCTCTGAACGAAAAGGTTCATCCGCCTCTTTAAGATTACCATATCATAGCTATTAAAAAAAATACTGAGGCAAGTTCGTTCCAGATCTTACTGGTACGCAAAAGAAAGGAACACATGGTGCTTGAACGCTAGGCGTCCAGATGGTGGGCGTTAAACTTCTCTGCGGTGTGTGGTGCTGTGGAGAAACTTGGCCACTGGCATCGGTTTGAATAATTCCTCGGAACACTCTCCGTTGTATAGACGGTACAACACGTATAAGTAGTTGCGTTCTTGTGCGTGTTGTACCGTCTTCGCATGCTAAGGGGTTGCAACGCGTCAGTGAGCTCAGGATCATCGATAAGTCAAACTGTCCGCTTTTGTATCCGGTCAAGAGGAAGGAGCTGGTATTGGGGTGCTGCAGCCCAGAGGACCAGTGCTTTGTAAAGTAACACCCGATATTTAGGCTTGAGGTACTTACTAGATTTATTAAGCACCCAAGCTTTTTCACACAAATTTGTGTCTTTGCTGGGTTAATCCAATCAAGTTTTGTTGGCTTCAATTTGAGACTTTATCCAGTAACATCTCAATCTCGGACACAAGTCTGTCTTCATACCCTTCTTCTCCCATCCGAGGGATGTTTGACCGACCAGTGTAAAAAGTGTCAGTGCTGTCATCCACATAGCAACGAATGCTGTTATTGCGTACAGCGTGAGCGACAGAGCTAGGGGCCATTCGCCTAACGTAAATGCTTTGGACGCTAACGCTTACGATTTCATTTTGTTATTTTCTAGCCGCCTGAGGTTTTCAAATGCCACGCGCTCTTTTTTTTCTTTTGCATTGGTAATAACAATATCAAAGAAAATGAGAGTGAGGTATTTGAAAACCTTCGGCGGTCAGAAATAACAAAATGAAATCGAAAGCGTTAGCGTTTCCAAAGCATTTACGTTAAGCGAAGGGCCCCCTGATCTTTGAAAGAGAAAAGATTTATTTATTTTCAAAGACATTTAAATTGACGGATTAGTTGGCAACCCAAAACAGGAAATTTTTAAACCCGGACTACAAATGAAATCCCGCCCGGACGCCCCGTAAACTAGGACAAATCCGGGGATACCCGGACGGATGGCAGCCCTAGATCTAAATTTGAGGTGCTATACTGGCCTAAGTAAGATAGGCCACTATGGTTAAAAAATGAGTCAGGCCACTATGGTTCTCATGGCCTCAAATGTTAGTAGCAGGTAGTAGAATTATGTACTACTTTTTATTAATAGATTGGATATTGTGAAGAAGCATCAAAAATGTCTCTCAATTATTATTATTTTAAAGATAATACAAGCAGACAGTTTAGGCGGATTGCGGTCGTATTTTTTATTTTATAACAATTTTGTTTGTTTCATCTTTGGTTAGAAACATACGGTTTTTAATTGTGTTGTGTGTTCCGTGTTGGTGCACGCGGCATACCAAAATAATTAGTTTATGTAATAACTATAAGATACCTTGATGTCAAACAGGGTACACAAACTTATACCCTAATATTTAATGAATTTTTATACTTTAACATTCAGTAATGCAGTTTAGATATTATCCACCTTTAAAAGGTTAAGTATGTATGTATATATTTTTAACTACTTACTAAATAATGGTAATATATTCAAGTTTACACTTTCTCACAGTCAAAATTAAAAAGCAGTAACATTGACATAAAAACTCACAGGGCACATAGAGGCAAAATTTGCAGTCTAAAATTAGTGATGTTATAAGCATAAGCCAAGTCAGAACAAAAACTACACTATCACAAACTGATAACACTCTGCTTATTCAGGTCAATATCTTTTGATAAGGTATTAGTAAAGAATATATACAACCTTCTCAGCTATGCGATAAGTGGTACTTGAAAGGTACAACTCGACTGTGTCATGTGACATGTGTTAAATTTGATTTGCTAAGAGAAGCATAAAAATATTATGCACCAATAGAATGATGAAAATTTAATTTAAGTAGGTTTAAATTTAAATAATGAAAATTAAATTATGACTAATAAAGTAGGATAAAAATTATGATGATGTGGAAGTAGGTTTGAATGTCTCATGTAAAAAAATTAAGTCTGAATGTCTGCCATGTGAACAAGACAGGAAAAACAACAAGGACTATGTAAAAAAATACATTAGATGCACTTCTTACCTGTTTAAAGAATTCTAATTAATGTTTATTTAATTGTCAATAGAAAATACTACCAGATATTAATTTCAACATACATTAAATGCTCCAAGATCCTACCTCTCAATTCTGCAGTCATCTATTTTTTTTAACAAAACTTCATTCATTTACACTAAGTTTTTTTAATGAAATATTCATATGAATGATTTCTGAGTTAATGAAAAAAACATGGGTATGGATGCAATATACAGAAATAAATGGATGTCACTAAATTTAACTTAAGATATTTGTGACTATTTTTTAAGCAACCTGTCACTAATGCATTGTATACTAACTATTCATTCATTTAAATTAGATTTCATTAAAATAATAGATGGCTGCAGAATAGAGTCTAAACTTTTAAGTCCAAGATCCCACGATCTTGGCCTAAAAAGTATAAAATAAATTGTCAATGGAATGATAGATATTTCTGTCGAAAAGGTTCTTTTCATCATACACACCAAATGGAATTAAATTAAAGGTATTATGATACTCTTACCTTTGATAAGTGGCTCTGAGACAACATTTACATCTTCTTGAGGGATCATATCCATGAGACGTGCAATTTCTGTGGCCAACATATGATCAACTACCTCCAGAAGTTTTGGCTTTAGAGGGTGGAATTTAGAGAAATCATGGTTAGCTAACGTCTCCTGCATCTTCTTGATATCTGGGAAGTCACCGGGAGAGATTTTGTGTTCTCTTTGAATACGATCATATACCTGACCAAGGTTCTTTATTAAATCCTTCTTTTTGCCATCTTTTCCAAACATTGATGGCATCTCTTTTCTCAATTCGCTGACAATATATGCATGCACTTTAGCTAAGCGTGCTCTTTTAATAAGATCATTCAATTTTCGCAATGCTGCATTCCTCGGTAAAGACTGCATATCTCGAAAGAGATCTTGTTCTTCATCCTCGAACAGCTTTCTGTTAACATCATATCGGAGCGGTTGGTCCCAGAATGACCCAATGTATACCCGGGCAACCTCAGGTGTTTGAAGTACTTTACCTAGCGACCACATGAGAGCTCCATACACACGCATAAGTTGCTGGTGGTCGATCATGTCAGCCTTGTTGAGGACAATACGTATTTTGTCATCATGGCCTCTCAAAGCTTCAATACTACGTCTAAACTCATCAGATATGTCAAGCTTGTGGGCATCAAACAATAGAATAATACGGTCTACTCGCTCTGCAAACCATTCCAACACTCCAGTGAAGTCATACCCTCTGTCTACACGCTGCTTTTCGCCAGACAGAATGCCGGGTGTGTCAACAATAGATATACCTTTAAGCACTGGAGAACTGACAGTGGAACATTGGAATCTATTTAGAAAAGCATTGCCAAATTTACTGAGAGGCCTGAATTGTTTCTTCGGGTCGACAACAAGCGCATTACCAGGGATTACGCCCTCTTTTTCATCGTACATTACCGCTATAAACCTATCTGTTGTCGGCTCCGGTCCGATACGAATGCCCGGAAAGTCTCGCTCGAGGAGGTATTTGATAAATGTAGTTTTACCGGTGGAATATTGGCCGACGAGCAATATCATAGGCTTTGCATCGAAATCTGGTTCCTCGAGTTGTGGCGAATGAAAGTCATGGAACTGATAGTGTAACTCCAGTGGTAAAAGTTTAGTTTTATAAATCCTTTTCAAACCTTCCACGACATTTTCTATACTTTCGGTTTTTTCACCTTCTTTTTTCAGCCAGCTAAACATGATTGTGGTCACAGATTCCCTTTGTTAAAAAAGCACTGACACTATTTCACTCACTGCACTAGTTTTTTGGAATGAATTAGCACAAATCTAAAGAGACCACCGCGATCATCCTCCACCACGAAAATGATTCAGACAGATGACTTATGACGTATTCGATACATGACATTCCTTGACCACAGATTTGGAACTACTTATTGGTGTCGATTCTAGCGTGAATCTCTAAACTGAAAACTAAATTTACAATCTGTCTCTCCTATTCATTCCGTATAGAGAATGACAAGGATACACTGTTGTCAAATTTAAGTTTAGATTTAGAGAATCGTGCCAGAATCGACATCATTATCTATCATAAAATTACGTAAACCATGGACATACTATAGAAATAGTACATTAGCGATAAAACAGTACGAGCGAGTGAAAGAGAGTATCTATAACGGAAAACGCCATTACAGACATTTCCCCTCTGTCAAAAGGTACAGTACAAAACCATTGATCTAGTGCATTTATAAAAACTAGTTTACGCGCGACCGCTACCATAACTAGTATATAATGTTCTCTGTGCATTAGACGTTATTGTTTCCAGCTTACCTTACCCTTTTTACGTTTTGATGTTTTTAAAAATAATGGTCATCCTTATAGAAAGAAAAAAGAGGCATCTGTTCTCTATCCCTCACTCGTCCCGTTTTATTGAACAAAGTTCTCAGACCTTTCAGAGTACGTCCATGATGAATTTGTTGCGGTGATGCCAGGTTGGGGTATAAATATACCATTTTGGTGAAAATTTTAGGTCTCGGCGAGATTTTGAAGAAATGGCGAAAACACATTGGATATGCGCTATAGAATCTCTGGCGCTAAGAAAAATAAAGAGGCTTCAAAAATTGACACCATTTCAAACTTAATTAAATACAACTACATACTCCTATTTTATAAAACTCCTTGTGCATGAGGAACTTAAATAGATATACTGTGGTGCCAATTCTGGCGTGATTCTCTAAACTTAAAACTAAATTTGACGTCAGTCTCTCCTTTTCATTCTGTATAGAGAATGACAAGGATATACTGCTGTCAAATTTAAGTTTAGATTTAGAGAATCACGCTAGAATCGACACCTGTGTTTGGTTAACTAAAATGTCCATTCTAACTAGGTTAATGCAGTTGCTTAGAATAAAGCTTTGCTGGCATCATTGTATTGGAGTAGAGCGTGATAATTTAACTTTTAGTAAATTGCTCATGCATTAGTGTTTGAACACCAAAGTAAACATCTATCATTATTTTTGCATCGAAGTGAAATCTATGGGAACTCCAAGTTTATCAATGTTAAATACCATAATTCCTTATAACACTAAATTAACTTTAGTGGGAGTTGTCATAGATCATCGCCTTCGTGTTTACAAAAATATGGACCATGTCATTGTAAAGCACAAAGTCTGTTTACGCGAATGTGTTTGTTCGTTCGGCATTGCATAATTACTTTCTGTTCGTCATGTTGCACAATTACTTACTGTTCGGCGTAAATTACAATCATTACAGCGTGTATTTGCTATCCGAGCCATTAGGGCCTATCGCACGGTTTCAGCTAATGTTGCCTTAGCCCTGGCACAATTCCCACCCCTTGATTTGGAGGTGCTACATGTGCGCGAAATTGAAAGAAGTAGATTAACTGAAAGCACTCAGTTCCTGCCGGATGACGTCATTCGGGAATCCCCTATACCCATTTCCAATATTTTGCACCCTGCACTTCGCATCACTGTTCAATACTCTATTGCTGAAAGACAACAAAAAGTGGACACTGGAGAATGAATCCATTGGGGCCGCATAGACCCCGATACGCTCTTTACCTTCACTTGTAAAATATTTAAATTACACAAAGCCTGCACTATGTTCTAGAATGAAATTTATGCCATCTACAAAGCCCGCTGCCTCGCTGTGGAGAGGAAATATGAAGAGACAATGCACTCAGCCAGCGCAACAACGCTACACCTCTAATGTCACTTACCCACAAACTGTAATGAGTTGTTATTAATATCCGTTTTTGTTGGGTTAGGGGGCATGTAGGAATTGCAGGTAACGAGGCTGCGGATGCTGAGGCCGGTCGTGCAGCAGCTCTGAGAAGGGCTCCTTATTATGACAGATTTCCATTATTATGTGAAATTTCACATATATATGATAATGGAAATCGGTTGTATTAGCGCGACCGGCTTCAGCATCTGCAGCCTCATTACCTGCAATTCCTTTCTAGGCTTCACATTCGCGAAGAGTGGGAGAAACGATATCAAGAGGTTGCTCAAGGCTCCCACACTCGAGATTTATTCCTTGCTATAACAATGATTCACATTTTTATCTTAATCGTCTCCCTCTTCATTCTTTCTTAATCAATTTTTAACAGGACATGGTGCACACTTTTCTTAATTATACCGCTTTTACATTGCTGCATCTAGAGTAGCGGGGATGTAAATCGTAAGTGGAGCGCCCTGTGTGTAAGTAAACATAGTAAACATGTTTTTTTTAGTAATAAAGCAATTGGGTATCATTTTGGCGAAATATAAAGATCAGTTTGGAGGAAATCATAAAATTGCATCTGGCAACCTTGGTTATCAACAATATCAATATTCATTGAGAATTATATTAAAAAAAACAATAATAATTTAGGCTGAAGGACTGATTATTCAAAGCCAGAATAAAAAAAAACAAATTCAATCAACAAATTGATATTGCGACACAGTCAGCGATATATAGATAATTCACGCCGCAAGTATTATTGAACTAAAAAACATTACTCAGAAGATAACAGCAATTATATTACAATAAACGTTATGACGATATTTCACGACGAAGTAGAAATTGAAGATTTCGAGTACGATGAGGACGATGAAATGTACTATTACCCCTGCCCATGTGGAGACCGATTTCAGATTAGTAAGGTTAGTTAATAATTATCATAATCTAATAGATTCATTCTTGGCCAAGCTGTATTACTTGGGCCCGGGAGTTGACACACTATGTTAGGTTAGTGCTGTGACCATAACGCGCGAGCCGAGCGAGCGAAGTGCCAGAAAAATACTTCGGTAACAGAGACCTTGTTAACAAAAACTGTGTGTCAGCTCCCGGCTGGGCGGTAGGAAGTACAGTTTAACCTCTTTCTCTAGATCTGGTAAGAAATAGTTTAGCTACTTTGATTCTATTTCTTCACTCATTGCTTTTTTGTTCATAGGAAGAACTTATGGCCGGTGAAGAAGTAGCTACGTGCCCCAGCTGTTCTCTCGTCGTCAAAGTTATATATGATTTGGTATACCTAATTGTATTTCTATCACATCATTTAAAAATTCACTATTAACAACAATAATCAATGTTCATTTGCTATTTTATTTTACCCTTATTTCTTTTTTGCAGGACAAATTCAAAGCTGAAGCTGAGGAAAAGAATATCGAGGATGGTGATAAAGAAACTGTTAAAGTGTAACAAACTGCAGTGGTGACATGATAGTGCCATTGAATAATATGTTGCTGTAAACAGCATTGACATGGAAGTTGAGTTCCACAGCACAAGGAGAGATTATGAAAACTGTGTTTTCTATGATGACTTTTTGAACCAAGTTCAATACATAATACTGTGATTTTTAATAATGATTAAATATAATTTATAAAATTGATCTGCTTTTATTTTACAAAGCGAAATAAAACAATGTATGAAGTTTACAAGTTATCTATATTACACTTCTTAAAAAATATGTCAAGTAAATGCACTGTTTATGTTCCATAATTTTATTTATAAAATGTTAAGTCACATTGATAAGATTATAATTTATTAAAGATATTTTTTTGACTAGCTATTATTTCAAACACCACACTGCAATTGAATATTTATGATCAAGCAACTAAAGCTAGTTTCGCATGAGTTTTTCTTTATTAAATAGTGAAAGTCAATATATTTATTAATAAAAATAACTTTTTATGTAAGTAGGACTCCACCATAATTCTATTTGCTAGTTTTAGGGATCATTAAATACTTAACATTTAATTCTATTTATAAAATATAATATACTAATGGTAATTATTAAAAGGACTAAAATATATTTCATTCTATCTAGTCATAATTATTCAACTGCACAATACACGATATTGTCATTTGATAGATATACACATCAACTTTCTCTTTGCATACATAATTGTATGCCTATACCTTCCGTTACTTTTTGGTATTATTATAATACATGTATCTATTAATATGTTGGTGTACATTAGTATAAACAGATATGGCAGATACAATTTTATTGATATTTCTATTATTCTTAGGTATAAAATAATTTTAGAGATCTAGCTTATATAAAAAAAAAGCTTTGGATTTGGATTTAGCGATGCAAACACGTGAAGTTATTTACAACTAGACAAGCTTTAAGCTATTAATAATATGGAATTAAATAATAAACACATTAGAACAATGTCACTTAGGGGATTTAATCATTGAATAAGATATTTATAAGCTTCTTATAATACTGGCTGAAATCACACATTAACATTTTGCTACTATGTTTTACATAAAAGGCTATAATAACACACTTATCAAGTTTTTAAAATTGGTTTTGTGATGCATTTGCATCTTGTGGAATTTACTTTAAGCGAGAGTCGTACAGTACCCCTAGCACGAACCATTATCGAATTCGAATAGTTTGCAAACCGAAATGTCAATGTGTCGCTAATCGCGGTCAAATGTGTACTGATTTTTAGTTCTTGTTACGCCAGTTTTGGCACTGCTGTTCAAGTTTCCATACAAAATCTGACAGTGACATTTCGCACTCGCAAAATATTCAAATGCGATATTGTTTAGTGCTAAGGGTACAGTTAAAGTGATAGTAAAATTTAACTTAATTATAAGCTCTGTGGTGTAACTCACACTAAGCGAAGATATGAAAGCAGAGGCTACTGAACTATTTTGCTGTGACAATCGCCTACTGTGACAGTGTTCTACTAAGACACAATTTGTTATACATATGTATAACTTTAATAAAATACGCTACATACTAAACAAGTACATTATATCACACAAAACAAAGTCTATAAAATATTATCTATCACCCTTTTGTAACTGGAATACAGATTACACTATCAAAATTGTGTCCTTCCACATATCATTGCTTATATAATTATATTTTTCACTAAATTTAAAATTTGAAGTAAGCATAAGTGAAATGAGTTTTTTAAAAAATTAGAAGGTCCAGAAGTCCTAAGTAGAGTTAAGATTTTCAAAATTGTGAAATAACATCTGTCAGTAGTACTTGAAATCCAATAACAATAATAGCAATGATTTTGAATAATCGCAATTAAAACGGTCGAAAATACTGATTATTATTAATACATATATAAGTATCTATTAAAAATATTTTTTGCAACAAAAATATTCACGAACTTAAACATCACGAGAGCAATAAATTCTTAATTAACGATTAAACTTATTGTAAATAATTTTAATTTGAAAAGTGATGGAAGGATTTTCAATAATCTGATCCTATAGAAATAAGTAGTGATATAGGCGCCCTATGACTAGTTTTCAAAATCGTGATTATTTCTTATCTTCTTTGCTTTATTTATAAGTAATTTGGGCCCTACATCACTTGTCACTTAGCTGACTAGGCCCTAAACACACGTTATTGATAATGTTGTTACCAATGGCGGGAAAAACCAGCGCGGCACATTTCACATTAGTTATTATGTTCACAATAACTTTGACTAATATCACTAGTTTTCAGTAGCTATCACAAACATAAATTTTGCTGTGTGAACCATAGACAGTTCATAGAAGTTGATAAAAAAAAACAGTTACTATTCTAAACTTATAACAAACTGTGTTCTGCTAAAACTCTTGCAACTTGACAACAATTGGGTGCTTCATACATTACAAGCGGCGATAAGCAGCGCCCTTATACATATTTAAAATTTGCGATTATAAGCGATAGTCGTTATGATGAAATGTCACCATACTACGTTTTTATCAACTCCCATCGAACAATCTTTGATATAAAGTGAATCAGTATTTAACTCAAACTAGTCACTCACCAAAATACATGTAAAGTATTCGAATGTGTCATATGTTAATTAATGATCCTTAAAAATACTGAATGCACAGAAGAATAACTACATATGACCAACCTTACTGACCTTAGTAATTTTACCCCTCATTTACATCAAGGTATAACACATGTATTTAACAAATTTTATACAATGTCTTCATTTTTTGGTGTAAACGAGGGGTTAACACTCAATTAAAAATTTCAATTATCTGTTCTCACAGAGGAATGTTATTATCAGTTCAACAAAAGTCACCTACTTACAAAACAGTTGGTTTAATGTTTGTATTTACAGAACTTTAAATGATAAATATCAATATAAAAATAATAAATTAATTTAATACGCCGTAAATACATTTTTATCTTTATAAAACAAATAAAATATTATCATTTATTCGAGCTTAACCAACTAATTTAATAAGAGATTGAACCTGCGTACTTGCCATGGCACCTTTACTTAAAAGCAATAGTAATTCATTTCTCTGCATTCAATAATTTTGAAAGATCGAAGCCATTTTCCTCATCGAAACTAATGCAAACTCGTGACTCGTCAAAACAGACAACATAATTATTTTAACAAAATCTAACAAGTGGTGAAAACTAGTGACCCCTATAACTAGTCCTATCGTGCAAATTTTTTCACCAAAACTAGTACAAAACTCGTGACTCACCAAAACACAAAACCTTTATTACTGAACATAATAACTAGTGACTTGCCATAACTAGTCCAATTTCATCTATTGCTGGCTAGTTGTTTCGTTTCCCGCCTCTTCCGTTTCCTATGTGGTTGGTCTCGGTTGGGCCGGCGTAGAAGGCGCGTGGAAATGCCTCACAGCCGCTTCTAAAGCTACATTGTTACCGCTGAAGTAAGCCGAAACGGCGTTGTGGAATAGCAGTAGTTGCTTGTTCATCACCTTCACCTGTGGAAGGAGTTGGGTTAGTATTTATTTGAGTATAACACCTTCTATTGGCAAAGATAAGGAAACTACGCCGCGATGTAGCATCATTAAGCGCATTCTTCCGACTATACCACGGCGAGTGTTCTGAGGAGTTATTCTTCCTTATCCCTCCATCACCTTTTCTTCAGAGGACCACGCGCGCTGGCCTACGTTGCCACCGAATTACTGTGGCCACTATTCCTACACGAACGAAGAAATTTGGTGACTCATTTCTTTGTTGTACTATTCGTAAGTGGAATTCTTTGCCCACGCACGTGTTCCCGTCTCTCTACAATCTGGGGTTCTTTAAGAGAGCCGTGAAGAAGCATTTATGCAGGTCGACATGGTGAGGATGGTTGGTGTGGCATTTTATAAATGCTGTACCAGCTATATTCGCGTTTGGACTTACCTAGCCTGGCCTACCTACCTAGATTATAGATTTTCTCATAATTTGTAAAATTTGATTGCATTGATTTTTATTGGAATGCGGGTGTTACACATTTTACCGTTTTTCGGAGTATGAGGCACGTAGTTAATTTCCGGATAAGGGCGCGTAAACATAGAACGTCCGATGTTACCCGTAGGCCTGTTCGCTAACTGCTTTTGACAGATGGCGAAGTGATAATCACCGAGCTTTTTAGTGATCCACTACTGCGTTATTATAATACCTCTAAGATACTTGTTCTGAAAAAAATCGATGGATGCAATTTTCTCTTAAGTTACACAAATGTCAAGAACGTTAGCGGTTAGCCGGCTGTACCTTTTTAACGGATCCATCGCTACTGGAGGTAATATTCACAATGAAAAGATTTTCTTCGCCAATTTTTCACCACATCTTAAAAAAAAATGTCTAACTGGTGGTAGGGAAAAAAATATGAAAGATTCAAATGAGTTGTATTGTTCATTCAACAGGAATAAAGTTTTTGTTGACTTTCGAAACAAAATTTATCGACAAAAGGAAGACATAGGAGCATAAAACGAGTAAAATTATATTATATCTATTAAAAAAAGGAGAAATCAGTCGAGAACGTTTGTATGGAAAAAACATTACCCGCCCCTTCCCTTAAATGACAATATAATAAAAAAAATAAGCGGTATTTTGAGTATATATTTCACCAATTAACTGTGTAGGAACTGTTCGCCAATCAGTGGCAAGTTAGATAACATGCCCGTGTAGTGTAGCATTCTCAGTTTGACGGCGTAATCGTCCCGCTCGAACATAGAGTCGCCGGTGTCGCGAGATGTTGCAGCAACACTGGAAGAATCTATTAGAGAATGACTTGCCCGGTTCTCGTGCAACAGCTTCAGTTTGACTGCGGAGTCGTCTCGCAGCCGCTCGTAGTGTCGCCGGTGTCGCGCGATGTTGCAGCAACACTGGAATGTACCAGAGAATGACTTGCCTGGTTCTCATGCAACAGCCTCAGTTTGACGGCGGAGTCGTCTCGCAGTCGATCGTAGTGTCGCCGGTGTCGCGCGATGTTGCAGCAACACTGGCATCGATCAGAGAACGACTTACTCGGTTCTCGTGCAACAGCCTCAGTTTGACGGCGGAGTCGTCTCACAGCCGCTCGTAGTGTCGCCGGTGTCGCGCGATGTTGCAGCAACACTGGAATCGATCAGATAATAACTTGCCCGGTTCTCGTGCAACAGCCTCAGTTTGACGGCGGAGTCGTCTCGCAGCCGCTCGTAGTGTCGCCGGTGTCGCTCGATGTTGGCGAGCAACACTTCGGGCGGGTTGCCGCCGCTAGCTTCTAGTTCGCTGCGATACGCGTCGTATTCCACCCTGTATGTACATATACATACATTAAAAAATAAATAAATAAAAATAAAAATAGCCTTTATTCTCTGATATAGTTATTATACTACTTACTAACTAACCGTATTACTAATTTCCTATTGCTACAATTTGATTTAATTTTACAATGCTCTACTTACTAATAAAAGAAAATTGGTACACCAGCACTATTTTAATCAGGTTGTCCTCCTCGGACATAGGCCTCCTCTAGAATTTTCCATTTTATCCGATCTCTTGCTAATCTGCGCCATCCTTGTGGTAGGTCATCCTCCCATCTTCTCTGTGGCCGCCCTCTTGTCCTCCTCCCATCTCTGGGGTACCAAGATACGACCTCTTTGGTCCATTTTTCTTTGGGGGATCTGATCACATGTCCAATCCAACGCCATTTAAGTCTCCTTATTTTCTTGGAAACATCTGCCACACCTGTGATTTTTCTAATTCTGCTCAGTCTCCACTTGTCTTTTAAACGGATGTGCAGCATGCTTCTCTCTATCCCTTGCTGACATACCTTGAGTTTTTGACTGTGCGCCTTTGTCAGGCCCCAAGTTTGACACCCGTAGGTAAGTATTGGTAGGATGCACATGTTGAATACTTTACGTTTGATTGGCATTGGAGTGTTCTTATTCTTCAATATTTCCTTCAGCGACCAGTAACGAGCCCAGGTGTTGTTTACTCGTGTTTGCAACTCTTTGTCCATCTGCGAGTTTGGTGAAATTATTTGGCCTAAATATGTGTAGTCATTCACATACTCAATGTCATGATTATTGACACAGATTTTTTGTTGATGTCTATTGGTCATGATCTTTGTTTTATTTGTGTTCATGGTCAGACCTGCTTTTTGACTTTCTGTTGCAAGTTGTAAGAGCATTTCTTGTAGAGTGACTGGGTCCTCCGCAAACAGTATCAAGTCGTCCGCAAATCGCAGGTGTGACAGCCTACATCCATTAATATTTAGTCCCCTCTTTTCCCAATCTAATTTTCTGAAAATTTCCTCTAGCACAGCTGAAAAAAGCTTGGGAGATAGAGGATCCCCTTGTCTGACTCCTTTTTGGACTTTAAATTCCTCTCCAATTTTTTCTAATTGTACTTTTGCCGTGTTGTTGCTGTATATATTCTTTATGAGTCTAATATACTTATTTTCTATTCCTTGATTGAACAAAGCTTTATATATGTAGTTATGAGATAGCGAATCAAATGCCTTATTATAGTCTACAAAGGAAATATAATATGGTTTCCTGTACTCATTGTACTTTTCTATTATTTGTTTTACGACATGCATGTGGTCTACCGTTGAAAAATCTGCTCTGAAGCCTGCCTGTTCTCTTGGTTGTTCCGCGTCTAGTCGTTTGGTGAGCCTGCCTAAAATAATTTTCGAAAAAACTTTGTACAAGTTTGTCATGAGGCTAATGGGTCTATAGTTATCTATTTTGTCTTTATCGCCCTTTTTGTGAATCAATATTATAGTTGATTTTGTCCATTGTTCCGGAATAATTTCACTATCTAAGATTTCGTTAAATAGACTAGTAAGTGTTTTTAGTATAGTATTCAATGACGCTTTAAGCAGTTCATTGTTTATTTTATCTTCTCCTGGAGCTTTGTCGTTCTTTTGTGATAGTATGGCTTGTCTCGTTTCGCTTTCTAGTATGTAAGGGACTTCTTCTTCTTTGTTTAGATTTTCTATTGTTACTGATAGTTCGGATGAGCTATAAAGGCTTTTGTAGAAGTTCGTAGCGATTTTGCTGATTGATGTTCTGTTTGTAGTTGTAAATTCTTTGTTTTCTTTGTTTTTTCCCTTCATTTTCGGTATCCAAAATGAGTGATCCTTAAGTTTCTTCATTACTCTTTTGATTCCTCCTGTTTTCTCGATTTCAGATTGAATGCTGTTGAAACGTACTTCCTTTTTATGGTCTCTTATACTTGATGTGATCTTTTTACTTATTGCTTCTATCTTTTTAATGTTCTTTTTCCTGTCTGCAAGCATTTCTCCTCTTTCTTTTATTAGGGTTCTTGCTGTATGTCCTATTTTGTCCATTTTGTTTAACTTACTCATGTGTCTCAATTCGTTTTCTAGATTAGTTAATATTTTTTCGAATGTGTTATATTTTTCTTGAATTAAATCGCTATTTTTAATTTTATCCATCTGACTTTTTACTTTATTAAGGATGTTTTCTGATATTGGAGTTGCTATCTGATCTGATCTGTTTTTTATGTATTTCCTAGTTCGTTTTTTGTTTGTAATTTCCAAGGTAGCTCTAACCATTCTATGGTTTGTGTTGAAGTTTAGGTTATTCACTATGCCTACATCATTGAATAATCCCGGTGTGTTGGTTAATACGAAATCAATTTCATTTTTGGTTTTCCCATCAGGTGAAATCCAAGTCCATTTCCTGCTTCTTTTTTTCTTATAGTAGGTATTCATTATCCTTAAATTGTTTTCAAGGGCAAGATCGATGAGTTTTTGTCCATTTTTATTTCGCCTACCTTGACTGTAGAGTCCAATGATGTTAGTTTCTCCATTTTGTTGGCTACCTATCTGGCTGTTGAAGTCTCCCAATATAATCTTATTTTTATTAGTTTCTTCAATAGTATCTTGTAGTGATGTATAGAATAAGTTCTTGTCTTCTTCGTTTGCATTCTCTGTGGGCGCATATACTTGTATGATGGACCATGGCTCTTTTCCATCTTGGATAGTCAAGTCCAAAATAGCAATTCTTTCCGATTTGCTTCTGAATTGTGTAATTGCTTCTTTGAGATGCTTTTTAACGATAAAACCTACACCGTGTAGCCCCTTTGTTTCTCCTTTGTAGTAGAACAGGTAATCTTCATGTTCTCTCACTTCTTCTCCTAGTCGTCGTACTTCGCTCAGACCTATTACATCCCAGTTTATTCCTTGTAATGCATATTCGAGTTCTACTAGTCTATCATCTGTTCTGAGTGTCCTTGTATTTAGGGTTGCTATGAATAGTTTATTTTTATCTTTTCTTATTGTTGGGTTTAGTAAAAGTTTAGGTTTTAATGTCTTTCCTGTTTGTTGTTTATTTTCTAGAGGGTGGTGGTCTAACGTCCCAAGGTGACCAGCCTGATTGGGACTTTTCCTTGTTGTTGTGTTGTTTTCTGTTTGTAAATTTTTGGTTTTCCGTTCGGTGCTGGTGTTACTTAATTGCTAGTTCGCGCTGCTGGTTCCGCTGAAGGAGAATGATCTCGCTTTGTCGAAATAGTTGACTCTGCTCATTTTAGTCTTGTTGGTGTTTTTTGTTTTCTCGTCGTTTGATGCAATTGGTGACTCTGTCGGCGACCGCTTCCTTTTTTCTTTTTTTTCTTTTACAATTAGTCGATCGTAAATAATATATCCCTCGTTGCCCTTGTCTAGTTCTTCTTTTAGTTGAGTTTTTAATTCTTTCCTCTTTAGAAGTACTTCTTTAGGATAATCCTCTGTTACATATATATTTTTTGGTAGATGTTTTTTATTTTTCAGAAGTTCCATTTTTCGCCAGTACAAGGTGAGCGTCATGCATATGGGCCGCGTTTTACCATCAGTTTTCTTTCCGATTCTTTGTATGTTATTTATCTCCCATTTGTCCCAAGATTCTATGCCTGCTTTCTCACTGACTACATTCAGAGATGAGATAATGCAGTTCAGTAGGTCAGGGAAATTAGTTTCAGTTTCTTGGACGCCATGAATGATAAGATTATTTTTCCTTGCTTGTCTTTCTAAATATTGTGTTTTTGTCTTCAATGTTTCTACTTCTAGTTTCAGTCCCACTAAGTCATCTACAAGAGGTTTTAGTTTCTCATCCATGGTTGCAATCATATTTTGGTTTATAACAGCTGTTTGTTGGCTCATTTCCTCTTTCATTTTATTCCAAAGTAATTGAAATTGAGGATCCATTGTATTAAAAAAAACTACCAAAGATTTTTCTTTTTAAAGTTATGGCAACACTTACTTTGACAACTTGTCAAAAGTATGTAACTGACAAGTGCCAAGTGTCAACTATGTTTCGCTTAAAAGTCAAAATGGATTCTAACCTCATAAAAAACACCGTGATTTCTTCCTTAGTTTTAAGTCTTCTCTCTTCTTTTTTAGCTAGGACAACTGTGTTTTTCGATTTCTTGTGGTTTCAATGTGCGAATTCGCGGTATGTCGTATCGTATGGTGCGTTTTGTACACTTTTTGGAATTAAAATTGTGAGAGCTCTCGTTACGCAGCGAATTGTTCGACAGCCGGAAACGGAAACTATACATACATTAGTGCGATACAAATATAATGAATGTACGTAATTTATTTATTTATGTCATCTCTATCTCTCTCATTGTCTATGTTTATGGTTGAGACAAACTGTTTACCTGGCCGCTTCATACAGTCTGATGGTGAGCAGCATGTCTTCTATGGTCTTATTGGTGAGAGTGTTGAGGGAGCTGTTGAAGAAGCGAAGAGCAGCGAGGAGAGTCACACCGTTACTCGTCAGAGAATGTCATCTCTATCTCTCTCATTGTCTATCTCTATGAGTGAGACAAACTGCTTACCTTGGCGCTTCATACTGTCTGATGGTGAGCAGTGTCCTCTATAGTCTTGTTAGTAAGAGTGTTAAGGGAATTGTTGAAGCGAAGAGCAGAGAGGAGAGTCACACCATTACTCGTCAGAGAGAGTCCTCTCTACCTCTCTCATTGTCTATCTTTATGAGTGAGACAAACTGCTTACCTGGGCGCTTCATACTGTCTGATGGTGAACAGAGTATCCTCTACAGTATAGTTGGTGATAGTGTTAAGGGAATTGTTGAAGAAGTGAAGAGCAGCAAGGAGAGTCTCACCGTTCAGAGTCATTTCTATCTCTTTATTTGTTTATGTTTATGATTGAAACAAACTGCTTACCTGGCCGCTTCATACTGTATGATTGCGAGCAGAGTGTCCTCTATGGTCTTATTGGTGAGTGTTGAAGGAGTTGTTGAAGAAGTGAAGAGCAGCGAGGAGAGTCACACCGTTGCTCGTCAGAGCGAGTCATCTCTATCTCTCTCATTGTCTTTGTTTATGAGCGAGACAAAATACTTACCTGACCGTCTTATACTGTATGTTTATGAGCAGAGTGTCTTCTTTGGTCTTGTTGAAGAAGTGCAGAGCCGCAAGAAGAGTTTCACAGTGTTATCGCGCTCTCTCTCTCTCATTATTTATATTTATGATTCAGACAAACTGCTTACCTGGCCGCTTCATACTGTCTTATGGTGAGTAGAGTATCCTCTATGGTCTTATTGGTGAGAGTGTTGAGGGAGTTGTTGAAGAAGTGAAGAGCTGCGAGGAGAGTTTCACCGTTCCGAGTCAGAGAGCGTTGAGTATCCGCGTTGTAAAGGAATCTGGATAAGATTAAAATGAGAATTTACTATTATTACATAAACATAATTATTACCCTACCCACCCTACGCATCGCAAAGCTTGCGTTGCCCAGTAGGGTAAAAATAATTATTCTTTACACAACAGTGTTCCATCAATTCTTATGGGACTGACTGATGGAATTGTCATTCTGCTTGGGTTACTTATGATGCAAAGAGATGGTGCTGCCTTACAGCCTAAGAAATACTAGAACAAATGCGACAGTCATTAAGGTCGCGGTAGCATAATTGGTCAGTGCATCCGCCTGGATAGCAGAGGGTGCGGGTTCGAGTCCCGTCTGCTGCCTAAACATCGGGTTTTTATATATTTAAACATCTATTAGCAGTTATATGTTAAAAAAAATAAAGATACATTCTAGTCATTTAACAAGTACAGGCAGTCCTCGTACTTACGGCATGTTAGGTTCTCGAAATACGCGACGTAAGTCGAGGCATCCCCACTGACGCCGGCCCCATGGATATTGACCTCGCGACAAATGAATTCTCCTTCGCCGGAAATCGAAACAATTGACGTATGCTTGAGGAATAGTTTCAAAACATTGTTTGACGTAACTTGAAACGGCGTAAATCAAAACGACGTAAGTCGAGGACTGCCTGTAATATGTTTGTTCGTGATTTTTTACAACTCACTGGTTCTGCAGCTCGGGCGATTTCTGCGCCAGTTCCGCGAACGCCTCCCCTAGAGCGCGCTGCGTGTGCCCCGCTGCCGTGAGCTGAGCAGTCAGTGCAGAGCTCAGTCGCAGTATGCCGTTGTACTTGCGCTGGGTCTCGCGCAACATTTCTATTTGCGCTTCCAGTTCTACGCGTAATATAATAATGTATATTTATTTCCTTTTCTATGTTCTCACGCTCACTAATGATTTGATAAAGCACGGTTTTGGTGAGTTTAAAATGCATTCTTTTGATGATTTGGACCCTTTACAAACTCGGCAGTCGTAAAAGACAGAAGATTTTGCAACCACTGAGCCTTTAAGGCATTTGCACTCAAATGTAATTTAAAAATAATAAAGAAGTATTCTATAATAATGTTGTTTAGTACTACTATTTGTCACAAGGCATGCATGAGACATATCGTAAAGCCGCTGTAGTTTGCGACAAAGCTGACGTAGCTTGCAAATTGAGACTGCCAGGGAGTTATATACAGTGATAGGTAAGTAGGAAGAAGAATCATTAATATCTTTAGATATTTAGAAAGTAGACTAGAATGTTTATCAGAAATTTACTATTGCTATTTATTCTAAGAGGTAGTGGAAAAAGATAAAGTAAACGAGGCAGGACAGAGGGAGGCAGGTGCTCGCATACCTGGATTATAAATAGACAATGTTACCGTTCACTAATTCACACAATTTTATAAAAAGAAAATCACAGAAATATTTACCTGTGTCCACAGTCCTGGAGCTTTTACCAAGTTTTTCATATAGAATCTGCTTGGTACACTTGTATGTGGAAACCCCCCAGTTGCGTATTGACTCCAGCTTGGATGACCCAGCACGGAGCAGTGTGCCGCTACCGGCAGCTCCATTTTGAGAGACATCTGGAGGAGCTAAGGTGAAAACAACTAGTTATAAGGATGAGGATTAGATCTATCGATAGGCTATGGTTACTTGTTGCCATTATACCATAATGCTTGTTTATCACCTTTTTTACATATTAAATATAGTTTTCAAAATAATTACTTAATTAAATTTTTATTAAAATGTAAATACAACTCAGATCAGATAGATATGTAAGTCAGAATACAAATAGGGTATTTGGCTTCATTTGTTTTAATACTTATATTACAGCGAATGATACTGAGAATGTTAAATATGAATTTTAAATATCGTGTAAGGGGAACCTTTCAAATGACAGAACCACGATGGAATTACTTCAAAGATGATTGCTAAACTGTATGTTGTGCTATGTTACTATAAGCACTACATGTACTATTCAAAATTGTCCCACATTAAATGGAAACTATGCAATTGCAATATAATAATAATTCCATGATGTAGGTAACTTACCATAAGCTGGTGGAAAAGGCATAGACCTGGATGTGGGGAATTTAGCTTCAGTACCCGACGTGATAGAATCACTGGATTCTCTAATCGGTGGAGTATCTTTCAACATTTCGTGAATACTTCTCTCCGATTGCCTGCATTAATTTCGCACATATTAATAATATTAAAGTAGCAAAGCAACACGTTTATATATTAATATGTGCATGTTTACTACCTTTAGAGACAAACAATATTGCATCCTAACAACCGAATTTAAAATAATCGAATTTTATGACTCACCACTTCGACATCTCGCCGGCGATGTATATATTTGTGAAAATGTAGTTTCAGAAATACGGGAGTTACGATATTTTAACGTGTGTGAGAATTAAAACATTTTTTTTATAAAAATCTTATTAGATTTTATAGATTTACGAATGGAATTGAAATAAAATCGAATCCGCGACTCAACTTTCATATGACAGTTGATGACAGTGACAGACAGTGCTTAGCAATGTTGCCTTGATGTTTTCTTAATAAATAGCCTATAAAATTGACTTGACGCAGCATAAAATCCAACCTATACATTGAATGAATGGGTCTTGTCTTGGTTCTTTGCCATTTTTTGCTCTATATTAATAAAGGCAACAGGTAGATGTTTGAAATATTTACAGAATATTTATTTGTATACTTTGAAAAAAGATAATTTAATTAAATTTATATATACATTTATAACTATACAACAAGTGTTTTCTTTCTGCCGTTTTATACTCGATATTATAATAAAGTATCTAATGTCGTATAGATGAGGGTACCGAACCCTTCGTGCGCGAGTCCGATTTGCACTTAGTCGGTTTTTTATTTTAAAAACCCTTTTTGCACCATCAGAGGGCCTCGCGGTATATAACCTTGGCAATATTCAGTTTAGATCTTGCGCCTCCATCGCCACTCTCTTCTTTCCATTAATTGCTAACGAAAAGGGGTCAAAAATGAATGAAAATGTGACAACAGGATTGTTCTAGCAACACCGCAGAAGAGGCAAAGTAAACTAAATCCATACGGTCTATGTTTCAGATTTTTTTCCTTTATTTTAGATTTGCATTGGATTATTTTAGAATTCATCACTGGTTTTAATAATTCTTACATAAACATTTTATCAAATGTTCCGATAATGCAACAACAGTAAATTAAACATATAACGGGCACACAGGACATGAAAATGAATTTCTTTAATCTAGATATTTTTGGTTAGGCGGGAGGAGGCAGGGCCAGATTTAGAGGTCCAGAGACCTCGGTGCAACAGAGGAGCGGAGGCCCCCTCACCCCAAATTATTTTCTAAATAAAGAAAACATTTTTTTTCTGTCGAGTTTTTCAATAAATAATTTATTGGGATAAAATATCAAAGGAAAAGATGTTTACTAGTTGGAATTTGAAAGATTTTTTTTCCGAAGTCTCTATTGTGGGGGCCCCCCGTTTGTGGAGGCCCCGGGGCTTTCGTCCCGGTTGGGAGGAGGGACAGGATGAAGGGTCGAAAGAACCCCTCGACTTCACCTCACTAACACCGCGGAACGTTGAACTAACTCGTGACATGACGTTACATATCTAACGTGACATGACGTCACACTTTTCGTGCTTGCATCCCGTGTTCATCGATTTATAAGACGTTATCCCGTCAAATATTTCCACTCCACCTGATGTTAAGTGTAGTGGGCTGCAATTGAGAGAGTTGATGCTGATGCGTCAGGCTAAGAATGTTCTGTTATATACGGTTGTACAGAACATTCTTACCCGCACTTCTTCGAAATGAATCTTCTTCCGTCTTCTACCCTTTGGTACTTTTTCTAATAGAAAGAACAAGCTGATGGTATAAACTCTCATATTGGTTACCGTATTCACTTCAGCTTCAGCCCTTAGAGCATGACCACCGCGATTTGAAGATATCAGCTTTTTGGAGGACCTAGATGGCTCTTGTTGTTTACGCATTCAGCAACTTTCGCAATGGTCGGTCTTTGGATGGGTAAACAAAATCTTTTACCTCGAGCTACTCCGTGCTTCGGTAGGCAGGTTAAGCCGTTGGTCGCGTCTGCATCAGCAGTTGTTAGCACCCACCAATCCGCACTGGGCCCGCGTGGTGGGTCACGGATCTGTCTCTCTATTCATCATAGGGAATTTTTGTGCCCTGCAGTGGGGACTCTAATAGGCTGATGATGATATCAGAATTTTATTGTGTCTAGACATCAAACTACTACCTACATAAATAAAAACCTGATATACCTCGATATACCTTTAACATATCGCGGTGTTTCTACTAGGCGGATTGGGGCCCATAACTCATATAGAATGAATATAGGTAGCGATCATGGATTTATTATACAAACAATAAGTCCATGCTAGCAGTAAACATCTTGAGCAAAACTACAGTGCGTAGTAGACGTTTTTCTACACTTCTTTGTTAAAATCTATCTCGCTGTAATGGTAAACATTGCTAAGCTGCGCAGGTTTCGCTGTCTATGGTCGTTGTTCAAAAAGTTTACGGGGTGAGTAGTGAGCTAGTGAGTACATACATACCTTTATGCCTTGATTACACGTACCGACCGAGCAAATGAGCGAGACAGTGCTCTTAGCCGAGTAGGCACTGGGTATAAACATAGCGCGAACACTCGGTTCGGCCGAAACTACATCATCTGAGAGGGGTCTTAGGGGATTGAATCAGATGAAGCTTATAAAGCCTTTAGATTTCACAGAGGCTCTCCCGCCTGGAAGTAATAAAAAAAAAAGAATCGGCCGAAAGCTTTTAGTTAGTCAATTAGTTAAAGAATTTACCGATCGCGATCTTGGAGCTCCATACAAACTTTGAACTCCATTTCTATCCCTTTAGTTAGGGGGTGAGTTTTGGAAAATCATTTCCTGGCGTACGTTTTTACATTTGTGCCTTTCAGCGCAATCCGTTCAGTGGATGAAGCTGTGAGTTGATAGATCAGTCAGTCTGTAACGATTGCCTTTATATATACAGAGAAGATATAAAAACCGGCCAAGTACGAGTTGGATTCGCGCATGAAGGGTTCCATACCATTATCTATACATCATTAGACACTACTTTAAATTATAATATCGAACAAAAAATCACGTCTGTTGTAAGGGAGCGCCTTTAAATATTTATTTTATTTTCATAATTATTTTTTTAAGTGAAAAAATAAATATAAATGAATATTCTGTGAATATTTCAGTGTCTACATGTTGTCGTTATTAATATCGAACAAAAAACGCCAAAAAAAGGAATAGTTGAAAAACGAGTGTGCTTATGACCACACGACTAAAGTTCTTTAGCTCCATCTATATGTATGTACATACACATATTTCTTTTACTAGCTCTAAGAGAAAGAGAGAAAGAAAATGTGCGCGCGCACTGCTTTCTCTTGCTCATATCCCCCACTCAACTCCCGTTCGCCTCGCCCAAATACACTTTTCGTAACGCGTGACGCATTCGCCAGCTTACCCCCCCCAAAATCAAGCGTGTGTAAAGAAGTTTTACTTCAAAATAGCTTTGAATATCTATTTTGTTTTTAAGTAACTATTTGTTGTTCTAGCGGCAACAGAAATACACCACCTGCGAATCAATCAAGTGTCTAGCTATCACGGTTTACGACAGGCGGAAAGTGAAGTCTTCGTAATTGGGTCCCGTTTTACCCTTTGGGTGCTGTACCCTAAAAATGTCTATGCTATGATTAATATATGTCCATGGCTGTCTCCAATAGGAGCTCAGAAATAGTTTCTGTAACATTACTGTCCCTTGATTGACTTTTTCTGTTCTACGTAGAAACTCTTGCCGCCTTTTTTATTGCTTTTAGTCCAGACACTGCGTTTATCGTAACTTTTTTGGTCTCGCCACCCCTTTCAATTTCGTAGTTGGGTCAGACCGATATGTCACACTGGGCCTTTTTTAGCTTTGAAGGGGCAAGCGAAATAGATAAAGTTAGTAAACTAGCCTCCTGTGTAAGGGACGAAAGTATATATTGATAAATAAAAGAAATCTTCATAAGAAACTTTTTATTTATAAAGTGTCAGGATTTGTAAATTTTTCCTTATTGGTTTGGTGGTTTTACTGAATACGTATATGCTTACACTTAACCTAAGTATTTATAAGATAAGTATTATAAAAATAAAATTTAAAGCTCATCACGGTAATTTTATGGTAGTCTATTGAGTATCTTGTCCATTTAGGTGAAAAAAAAATTGGGCCTACACTGGTGTCGATTCTAGCATGATTCTCTAAACTTAAAACTAAATTTAACATCAGTCTCTCCTTTTCATTCTTTATAGAGAATGATAAGGATGCACTGTTGCAAATTTAAGTTTAGGTTTAGAGAATCATGTCAGAATCGACCCCACTAGCGGTATAATACCAACTTACAAAAAACTAAATAAAACTATTTTGAAACATTGTTAAGATATTGTACTGTAACTATATATACCTACCTATACAATATACAGTGCAACGCTTTAGTTCTACTGTATATAAGTATCTTTTCCATGAGTGGCCTATGTTGTTTCCCAAATTGTAAACAGTTATTTGATTTATTAGTTATTAACTTGTAATTACCAGTACCCCTAGCACGAACCAATATCGAATTCGTATCGATTGCGAGTCCGAAATGTCATTGTCAAATGTGTACTGATTTTTAGCTCTCGTTACGTACTTTGTGCCGCTTCTGTTCAAGTTTCCATAAAAAAATTGGTTCGTGCTATGGGTACTGTTCAGTTGGGGTATTGATGGTTAAATTAACGTACAGAATCCCTCATAGACGTTAATTAGCTTTTGTCAATACCATTAATGCCTTAATTTTGTTTACTATTGCAATAGTAAAAAAAAAGTCACTTTGACAAGCTTTTTCGTCTCGGAGTGCGCTCGTTGTTCATCGTTGTTAATTAAAATTATGCTTCAGTAGGTATGTTTTTTTACATTTATTTACACTATTTAAGTACATACTTACTTACTTATTCATAATTATTATAACCGTCATAGTATTTTACTTATTATATATGTTATAAAAATACATTTATTGACTTGGGTATATATTTTAACAAATATTGTTTTAACTTCGGCTTAATAAAATTTCCCACCATATATTTTTGGTATTATTTTACATTTTGACTAGTGGACGGAGTGTACTTACTGTTTATATAAATATCCCACTTAATATAATATTTAAATTTAACTTTACAGGAGATTCGAATATACTTTAATTTTTTTTCAACAGAATTACTTCAAGTATAAGAAATCGTCAAAGGGTGATTGATTTGTTTGCTTATAACTTTTTAACAGATCAATCCATCTTTAGGGATTTGAAATACAGATCTTTTCCAAAAGTTCAAATCAAGTAGGATAATACATATACCTAGTATTAAAATAAAACACTATCAAAAATTCCATCTGAACTTTAGGTCTTGGTGCACGAGAGTGCTCCAGCCAAGCCCGACGAATTGTTCGTAAATTTTGAATTCCGACGGTGCACCGACTGACATATAGTCGTCCCTTTCTTCCTTGCCCTGTGTCAGTCGTCAAGCTTCACCAATGGAGTGTTCTGGTATGGGGGCGGGAGGGTCCGTAGAGGTTTCATCTCTGCACCAGAACTGTCGCTAACCACGAGCGTCTCCTGGGGGCAACACGAGTTCTTCAGCGTCATGGACTCCGTGGAGGTTTTGTGACTCTGTTGACAACAAGGACACACTCAGCTGAAGCATACATAATAATGGTTGCTACAGGGCTGTAGCCAGAGTTGTATTTAAGATAGGGCAGCGGTAATTATAGGGCATAAGCAGGGGCGTGCCGCCCTTCGCAGCCTGCTGCCCAGTTTTAAGGTATGGTATATAAAGTTAGGGTATTGCCTCATAATGCCACTTAGCTACGGCCCTGGGACGTTATAATGGGCGTGGTAAGCGGGGAGCAAGGAAAGCCACAAACCTCTGGTCACCCTAAATTCAATTATTTAAAAAAATATTTGAAGTTTTTTAAATTAATATGCAAATGCATGCCAACTGGACGGCTGCCCTAGCTACAACGATTCCTGAATGTTTGGAGGAGTAAAGTGGTTTCCTATTAAATGAAGCAGACATGTGTTTGCTCTATACGGGTGCTCTGTGAGAAACTCGTTATTTTGCCAAGATAACGAGGACAATAGGTTATGACACAGCATAACAAGACCAATTGTGTGTTTCGTTACTCATGTGTAATGTTATCGCGTAAAATAAGCTGTGAAAAGCAAGGAGATTTATTATAACTATAAGTATTTGTTCTTTTTCTAGACCCTTTTTTAGGGTTCCTTAGTCCTGACAAGGAACTCTTATAGTTTTGTCATGTTCGTCTGTCTGTCCGTCCCCAGTTTTGCTTCAAGACTGTTACCACTAGAAAGCTGTAATATTGTGGAGATATGCATCATGTCGACAAAATGGTAGAATAAAATTTTAAAAGTATATTTTTTTAACGTAGCTCCCCTACATGTACGTTGTTGAAGTTTAAAGTACTAATTTTTGTTCGAGTAGGGCGCCCCCCCCCCCTCCTCTAAAATCTAAACTATTGGCTTGAAAAACCTGAAAAATTATGGTAATAGTGCTTTTCATGAACTTATAAGAAAAATATAACGGTTAAGATAAATTTGTTAGTGTAAGAGTAATAGTCGTTCAACTTTGGTTAAAGAAAATTTCTTACTTATTGAAAAGTCCTTAGAAGAAAACATATCTAAAGAAAAGTTTACTAGAAAAATATCCACGCGGACCAGGCAGCGGACGGGACGACGCGAATTTCGACGCGGCTAATAGGGTTGTGGTAGCATAATGGTCAGTGCATTCGCCCGGATAGCGAAGGATGCGGGTTCGTGTCCCGTCCGCTGCCTGGTCCGCGTGGATATTTTTCTAGTAAACTTTTCTTAAGATATCATTATTTCCACAAAGTTACCGCGAGTACCAATGGCAACGGCTTTTGAATCGCGTATCGTTACGTTTTTAAAAGCACTTGAAAAGATCGGTCTTGCTCAAAATATTATGGCAACCACAGGCAATTACCCTACCCTGCGCGTGGCACGACGCGCACTTGGCCGGTTTTCTGAGCTTACTATTTTGGTGGTCATCAATGCAAAAAATAATAATTAGAGAAATTTACAATAAGCCAGCATAAAATAAATAATGTAGTTAGTTTATCTGTACACACTTTCAGCTGAGGAATGTGGAAAACCGTTTTGCATATTTATCGAACCAAATTAATCATACTAAAAATATTGGCTGGTAAGCAAGCCTTTTATTTATGGGTTGGGGCGAAGGAAAAGGTTTGTACACTATAGAAATATTTGTAGATTATCAATTTATTTAACTTAACATTACCCTTACATTGAAAAAGGCCAACTTAGTTTCAAAAGGTAACGATGTGCCCCCATGTGAAAGTTCCCATATGGCACAGAAAATTTTTTTCTTCGCTCGTAATCTGCATAGGCTATTTCTAGAATTCCCTAAGACTTCACACCCATAAAGCAGCAGAACCGACCTGGCCGTCGGTCGCGTTATTCTATGTTCACACCACTTGATGTAATGATTGATAGTAATTGTAAATATATAAATGTTGTTCAATTTAGGGACTAATAGATCACGTGGCAGAGACACGTGCCTTTCCGGACGACCTTTACCAATAAAAAGTCAAATTTAAGTGAAAAGAGAAAGAGATTGTCTTGTGTTTAATGCTTCAGTTCACGTAAATTGGACTTTTCGCTAGATACTGTTTTTGCATTTGTTTATTTGATGCCCCTCACCACCTGGAGTCACCACCTCACGGCCACTCTACTTTATTATCATCATCAGCCTTTTAATATCTCCACTGCTGGGGCACAGGCCTTCCCTATGGATGGCATATGGAGGACCACTCCACCAGCTCTGACATAAGACTGGCACACTCTTTTGTAAAACCAACTCTATATTTTGCCTAGTGGGCAAATTAATTGTATCGGAGATGGATCGACACCGCCATAACTTCAATATTGTATTCTTTGTATGAAATTCTATGCTGCATTGTTCTTTTACACTAATCGGCAGCGTATCGGTACCGAATAGGTTCGAGGTAAAAGATGATGAGTAATAAATGATGATGTTCCGTTTTTGATACGATGAATATAGCAATATTCACGCTCGATTTTTTAATTCTCGTTAAAGACCTTGTCTACCAAATAAACGTAAAAAAGAAATGTCATGCACAACATCAAGACTTCTGGTGACTAGTTAACATCTATCAGTAGAATAAGTTTTACCCAGGAATTAAGTTTTATCCAGGAAATAATTTGGGGTTCTAAAATGATTTAATGTCTAAAGATATCGGCCAAACAGTGACAGTTATTCCAAGATCAACTAACAATGAGATAAGGGCTTGCTTCTATTAATCAATTTTTAGCGCCATGTAAAGAATTTTCAGCTGGCAGTAAATATGAGGATTACATTGCTGAATGACCAAATTAATAGGCTGATGATGAATAAAAAAATTGCACTCTTCACTCCAAGGTTCCTGTGAACATTGTATACCCTGTATATTATTATACCGCTGTAACCAGTTATCATCCGTAATACGGTTGACCGGAATTATGTTAGTTTACTGAAAGTTTATTAAATGCATACATAAGCAGACCACCTAGTATTACCACCTAACTATGGCCACTATGGACTTATTTTCTGTAGAGTGCACGAGTCAAGCGGATCTACTAAATTTTATTCAGTCCGTCAGTTAGATTAAAAAATAACAGATAGGTACCTGGGTCGAATATGGCCAGCCGAAAAATATGGCCACATGCCATTATTTCAAATACAAAATATTGTAATAACCTGAACGCGATCATAAATTGTCGCTAGTGTAGCATGTATTCAAACGGCGTACCTGTCACCAGTGTTGCCAACTCTACGTCTTTTTACGTAGATCTACGTATTTTAGGCCTTTTCTGCAAACCTACTAACTTTAGTCCCAGAATCTACGTATTTTCTTTAATTTTTTCAAATTTGTAAAATAACATAATTCACTAGAATAAAGAAGAATATTTTCCAGTTACTTTAATTAAAAACTATAAAAATGTTTATTTCTTATAAAGATGTATCTAAAAACTCTTGTAACTTGTAGAAAAGGTTCCCGTCATTGGTTTTGTTGACTAAATTAATGCTGGACGCAGGATTTGTGAAAGGAGAAACGACAAAACTCTTTGACTTAGTAGGTACATTCGTAACCTTAAAAATTGATTTTTTAAACTTTAAATATTATTCAATGAGTACTTACATCGAATTGATGTTTGCAAAAAGAAATGACTTTCAGTCGATAAAGTTACAGGAATTAGTAAGTTTTTAACATGTGTTCATGTATAAGTGTATGTATTATTTCCCTTGGCAATTTTAACCACAACTTTCTAGAGTCTTTTACCAAGTGTATTATGATAACTAACTCTATTTTTCATGTGATCTATTAGAAATCATGGTTTTTTAATACCACATGGTCATGGTCTACCGCAGCATGGTAAATGCTTCCAATGCAGCGATTTCTCCAAGAACTCTTTGTTCTATCTCCCGTTTTTAAAGAAATTGTATAACAAAATACTCGTTTCATTCGGTTTCACCTGACTTCTTCATTTCACTCAGAAAAAAGTACGTAGATCTACGTACTTTTCATATGCAAAAAATACTAAATCTACGTAATTTTCTCATCGGGTCTACGCCTTTTTCAAAATCCGAGTTGGCAACACTGCCTGTCACTCCTCCCGCGCGCCCGCTAGTCGCCCAGTGTTCATTAAATGCAGGGGCCTGACAGCTTTAGTTCCATTTTCTTAGTTTTGGCGCTAGCGTCGCTGATATTTTTTTATAGCCTGTGGTTAACCTGTCGCCATGTTGTCACTATTGATAGTTTGACAGACAATTCAAAGTTTCAAACTGCCATCCATCATTGTGTTGTTTTGATTTGAGTTTAGTGCCGGTTATCTTGTTTTCTCCTCCCAGTCTTGGTTGAGTTGAGGTTCTTGAGAAGCCATTCTCCTCGGATTAACAGTACAATATTGACTATTTACTCAAGTGTTGCATACCCATCATGGCATTTTTTAAGTGTTGTGTTGGTGATTGTGATTCTTCAAGTAATACTCACAAACTCTTTTGCATGCCCGTAAATGATAATTTACGTAACTTGTGGATGTCGTTCCTGGTTCCGACAAATCCTGGTTTACTTGGACTGAATAAAAGTCAATTATTGAAGAAACGCGTTTGTGTGAAGCATTTTGATAAAACTCAATTTGATGAAGCTGGTGTCAGAATCCGTTATTCTTATCCTTGTTTAATCACACAAATGGAGATTCTACATGGTGTTCCACTTACTACGGAGGGTAAGTGTACATTAAAAAAATTTGCTAACTATGATGTGTAGTATTTTTTATTTCTTACTTGATCTTTTAGTAAACAATCTTCACACAAACACCTATATAATGAAATAATCATTCATCAGCACCTTTTAGCAATATCATGTCAGCGCTGCAAGGTACTCAGCTTTAGTTATGACGTTATGCGAGGTACTCGGCTGCTGGGTACCTGTCAAAGTTATTAACCCAGTCCTTGTCTAATAATTATTGTCTTTCATTGTTGCTGTATATTATAATATATTATATATATATATTATAATAATAATATATTATTTAAAAATAACATACTTATT